ACAAGATGTTCCAACATGAGCTTCCCATGGAGTCACAGACCTCTTCGGGCTCAGCTCCCTGCTCCGGCATGGGGACATCCACGGGCTGCCGACGGACCTCGGGTCCAGCGCACGTCCTCACCCCCGCTCTGGCATTTGGCGACTCTCGGGGTCTCAACTCAGTCACACTTGTCCTCAGGCTCAGCTTCTTTGCTCCAGCGTGGAGTCTTCCATGGTCTCCACGTGGGTATCTGCTCCACCATTGAACTCCCATGGGCTGCAGGGACCTCCTTTGCCTTCTCTTACTCCATGCAGTAGAACTGGGTGTCTGAGGTTCTCTGCCCTCCCCCTCCTTCTCCTTCCTCCTGGCAACAAAGCTCTCTCTTTGTTTAGGACGTCTTTTGTTCAGATCAATGGCCTCTCCTCCACGTTCACTGGCCTTCTTTTCAAGGCAGTCCTTCCCCTCATAAATATGGGTTCACAGAGGCGTTTCTCTAGTGCTCATTGGCTCAGCCTGGGCTGGAGGGTACACCTTGGAGCCAGGGGAGCTTTTGCAAAGCTTCTCACAAGATGGCCCCTTCCGCCACTACCAAAAACGCCCCCCCCCACCTCCAACCCAACACGCAGGCACAGAAGAGCATTGTTGGAAGGCTGATTGTGAACATGAGGGATCAGCTTCTCCAGGATATCAGGAGCCTGTGGTCATTTTGTCCTCATCTATTGCAGAAATGCACACATTAGTGGTTCATCCACAGCTGGATGAAGGAGCAGGGACAGTCGGTACGGCCTTGCAGGAATGGACTACAGAGCAGCTGAATGCTTCTCACAGAGTGGATTTTCATGCTGGGATATTAGGTAGTTGGGAACTCATCTGGTAGGGTTGGCCTTCAGAAAATCTAGCATCTCTACGTCATCCCTGAAGAAGGGTCTTCTGAGCCCAGAGGAATCTGGCATTCTGAGTGAAATACTCCTCTGCAAGCGAGAGGACCTGATGGGTGACGGATTCAGATATTAGCTGGTTACAGCAGATACCCAAGACCTTTCCAGTATTTGATGGTGACCATATGGCTGCTGTGCTCTTTGCAGAAGCTTTGGCTGAAGGAAAGGAGGGTTTCTATGGATATAATCAGAACACAGCAGTGTTTTGGTTCCAGTGTTTTGGTTTTGGCACTGATGTGTTGCAAAAGACAGTCATGAGACGTAAGCTGTTGTGCGGCATGGGAAAGTGTTCATCGGCATCTGCGTGGGTCTGTGCATCAGCCAGGAAGCAGCTGTGAACTGTTTCATGGACAAGTTTGAAGTTTGCTCCCTAAAATATTAAAAGGCTTTGACTGTAGCATAGTTTCCAGTTAATGAGCCTTCCACCTCATGAGTGAAATGGGATTCTAGAAAGGGGACTGCACCCAGCATGTCCTATTCCTCTTGATGACAGACTGATCAACAGTTGATGGAAAACATTAGGTAGCTGAACAGTTCTCATATTGGGCTTTAAAGACTCAACCTGATTGATTAAATAGAGCTCCTGGCAAGGCACAGATTAAATTCTAGAAACTCTACAATGCAGAATAGAGAGGGGAAAAGTGTCCTTTTGTAAGAACAAGTCTAACTTGATCTCTCGTAAATGAGAAGATGGTCTTGGATGATCAGTCATATGTTTGAAAGCAGACATTTATAAGAAGCTGTCTGCTTTGATTCCACTGTCCCACAAGGATGGGAAGCAAAGGATGATAAACCTAGTGGGTTTAGTAGTTTTATTTTGGTACATTCACTCTTCAGAAATTGTACATTCTCAGGAAGAGAGGAAAAAAGTGGGGGGAAAAAGTGATAGTATATAAATTTTTACAGACAAAGAAAATCATGCATTGTCTAAAAAAACATGACTCCTTGAGCAATGGGTCACTGAAGCCTGGTTTTTGGGCAGCGTCCATTGTTCTCCAGATCCTCTCCTCCCTCCCCTGGAAAGCTAGCTGCCCTCCTCTCCCTTACTACCACTTCCCCATGCTCTCTCCTCCAACTTAGCTCCAGTTCATAGTTCTTCCTCGCCCTGCAGAGGGTAATGTATGTTATTAATGCTACTAGTAATCTTACCTGGTTTTGCATTCTGTGTCTTCATAGAATCATTAAGGTTGGAAAAGACCTCTTAAAATCATCAAGTCCAATTCTCAACCCAACACCACCATGCCCACTAAACCGTGTCCCTGAGCACCACATCTACACGTCTTTTAAATACAGTGACAGTGACTCTACCACTTCCCTGGGCAGCCTGTTCCAATGCTTGGTAACCCTTTCAGTGAAGAAAATTTTCCCAATATCCAACCTAAACCTCCCCTGGCACAACTTGAGGTCATTTCCTCATCTATCGATTGTTACTTGGGAGAAGAGACTGACACCCACCTCACTACACCCTCCTTTCAGGTAGTTGTAGAGAGTAATAAGGTCTCCCCTCAGCCTCCTCTTCTCCAGACTAAAAAACCCCAGTTCCCTCAGCTGCTCCTCATAAGACTTGTGCTCCAGACCCTTCACCAGCTTCATTGCCCTTCTATGGACACGATCCAGCGCCCAAAAGTGAACACAGCACTCAAGGTTCAGCCTCACCAGTGCCAAGTACACGGGGACAATCACTTCCCTACTCCTGCTGGCCACCCTATTTCTGATACAGGTCAGGATGCTGTTGACCTTGGCCACCTGGGCCACACTGCTGGCTCATGTTCAGCCAGCTGTCAACCAGCACCCCCAGTTCAAGAAAATCTTTGAATCCAAGGAAAAACCCCTTAAGTATAGACTTAGCTCAAAGGATATGGATAGCTGAAATTAAGAAAAAAAAAAAAGGAACAGAGTCACAGAATCGCAGAATGGTAGAGGTTGGAAGGGCCCCCTGGAGATCATCTAGTACAGCCCCCCTGCCAAAGCAGGTTCCCTACAGCAAGGTGCACATGACTTGATCCAGGTGGGTTTTGAACATCTCCAGAGACGGAGACTCCACAACCTCTCTGGGCAGCCTGTCCCAGTGCTCTGTCACCCTCACAGTACAGAAGTTTTTGCTCATGTTGAAGTGGAACCTCCTGTGTTCCAGTTTGTGACTGTTGCCCCTTGTCCTCTAGTGCACTGAAAGGAGTCTGGCCCCATCCTCTTGACACCTGCCCTTTAGATGTTTATAAACATTGATAAGGTCCCCTCTCAGTCTTCTCTCTTCCAGGCTGAACAGACCCAGCTCTCTGCCTTTCCTTGTAAGAAAGGTGCTCCAGCCCCGTAATCATCCTAGCAGCCCTCCGCTGGACTCTCTCCAGTAGTTCCCCATCTCTCTTGAACTGGGGAGCCCAGTACTTGACGCAATATTCCAGGTGCAGCCTCACCAGAGCAGAGTAGAGGAGGAGCATCACTTCCCTCGGCCTGCTGGCCACACTCTTCTTAATGCACCCCAGGATACCATTGGCCTTCTTGACCACAAGGGCACATTGTTGGCTCATGGTCAACTGGTCATCCACCAGTACTCCCAGGTCCTTCTCTGCAGGGCTGCTTTCCAGCAGGTCAATCCCCAACCTAGTACCCCAACCTGTACTAGTGCCTGGGGTTATTCCTCCCCAGGTGCAGGACCCTACACTTGCCCTTCTTGAACTTCATCAGGTTCTTCTCCACCCAAAAACTTATGGGTGGAGTCAAACTTACGGAGGGCCACAATAATCCTGACAATTTTATATGAAGATGTGTTCTCTTTTCCACGGTTTTTCCTTTTTTACACTGAGCTGGTTTGACTAAAGTAGCCACTTGATATGCTCTAGTTGCCCAAAGGCAAAAGCTTTGAGAACTCTGCTCAGCAGCTTGCTTCCGTTACTGTGTTGTGCTGGCTTAGGGTTTGGGCTGGTACTAAAAAAAAAAGCCCACTAAAAAAAAGTTAAATATTTGCTGATGTGTTTCCTATCTCCCATTCACTGTGTTTCAGAAAATCTTCAGAAGAACTGGACATGGATAAAGTAACAGCAGCCATGGTACTCACCAGTTTATCCACCAGCCCTTTGGTCCGCAGCCCTCCTGTCCGACCCAACGGTAAGCCTTCAGAGCAGCGCCTGGGCAGGGGCTGCAGGGAGGGGTGCCAGGGCCGTGCCTGGCGGGGGTTGTTTCCAGGAGTTGTGGCCATGATGGAGGACAAAGGGTGAGTGGCTGTCTTCAGGCAGTGACCTGTGCATGCTGGGGATCATACTGAGCATACAAGAGAGACATGGAGCAGCTAGAACAAGTCCAGAGGAGGCCACGAGGATGATCTGAGGGCTGGAGCACCTCTCCTATGAAGACAGGCTGAAAGAATTGGGGCTGTTCAGCATGGAGAAGAGAAGGCTCCGGGGAGATCTTATAGCGGCCTCCCAGTACCTGAAGGGGGCCTACAAGAAAGCTGGGGAGGGACTTTTCATAAGGGCAGTTAATGACAAAACAAGGGGAAATGGGTTTAAGCTGAAAGAGGGTAGGTTTAGATTAGATATTAGAAAGAAATTCTTCACTGTGAGCGTGGTGAGACACTGGAACAGGTTGCCCAAGGAAGTTGTGGATGCCCCCTCCCTGGAAGTGTTTAAGGCCAGGCTGGATGAGGCTTTGAGCAACCTGATCTAGTGGAAGGTGTCCCTGCTGATGGCAGGGGGGGGGGAACTAGATGATCTTTAAGGTCCCTTCCAACCCAAACCATTCTATGATTCTATGATTCTAGTCAAGGTCTTTGATGCAGCATTGGCAGAAATTAGAAGGAACCTTTTCTGTAACCATAGAGTGGCTCCAGTTTATGAAACAGGAGATGGCCCATTTCATAAATGGGAGGTCAGCACTGTGGAAGGTCTCCTGACCTCACTGAAACGCTCTTTTTCCAAACAGCTTATTTGCACTTGCACACATGCAGTAAACATGACAGCAGTTGTTCTTGTCTCTACCCCGTGGAGATCAGATCAGATTTTACTCAACACTACGATGAGGCAAAGCACTTCCAGACCACAGCCCTCAGCTGAGAGGCTGCGCGCTAGTGGTCTGCGCAGCAACAGGTCTGTTTCTGCCGATGCAGGATTAGACCTTCAGTTCCTGTGCTCTTTGTAACTCTCTGATGGTCTACCGTCAAATCCATAATCCCTAAAAGACTCATCCATTCATGGTATAGCAGAAGACACACAAATAAAAATAAATCTAAAAAGTTAGTGGTAATAATGGGATTGCTAATGAAATATAATTAATCTGTGCAAGCTTGACTGGAGTTACAAGAAATTTTAGAAGTGTTACATTTTAAAGAATAATTTAAATTGGGACACCCTTGTTAGGGTGTCTCAGAATTGTTTGTATGACTCTGGCTTTTCTTACTCACTTGTAACTATTAAATAGACACTCCATGCTCTCCTACTCTACGTACTTGGAGGGCTTTGAGGAATACTTACAAATGTGAATTAATAGGGAAGTAGTATTTACATTTCTTCATGGAAGCAGGGACGATCCACTGAATGGTGCTTTTAAAAGGAATTAATTCCAAATATCCCAACTTTAAAGATTTTTGAACAAACTGTGTGTTTTTTCCATTTCTTTCCAGAAAATGCAAGTTTTACCCATTTAGCTGGAATTTTAGCCATGAGCACCCATGGTTCCTGTTTGTGTGCTTTCCAGTGTTGAAAACCAGAAGTATTTATGGAGTACTACTGCTCAGAGGAGCCCTGTGAAACCTCTGGCAGTGACATCCCCAGTGACTGTCTTGCCTCAGGGTTGGAGGTTGCCAGCCCCCAGGGAAGGCCAGTGGAAGGGTAAAAACATACCTGATCTCCAGCTGCTCAGCTCACAGCTGAAACCACAGATGAAGATGGCTTTGTGCTGATGTGCCAGGCAGGGATTTGGAGTGGCTGAGGCACACATCTGGCCCACGTTGCATCCCCGGTAATGGGGAGCTGCTCTGGTGTGGGGCAAGGCAGTATCTGCCACCTTAGACAGTTTGAGCAGATGACAGTTGTCAGGAGCAGCAGTGCACGTTAGCTAGCATCTGTCGATTGGAGAGATCTTCCAAACAAGCCCTTTTGAATTGCTAATAGGTAAATGGTAGCTGTTAACTGCCTTTGATATTTCTTCATGCAGTCTGAGTGCCTTTTGATATTTCTTCATGTAGCTTGTCTGCTTGTTTCCCAAAATCTGGGAAGACTAGCCTGAAAAAGTAATTCACAAAGTGTTTTCAGTAGTCACAGACAAGATTTTGAAGCTGTTGTTGGACACCTTCTCCCTGGATATCTTAGTTTTGCCTGAGTGAAGACTTACTAAAGACTTAATTTAAGTGTAAAAATTGGATAATTTAAAGCTCATTTGCTGTTGCAAGGCTAGGCTCTGGTCTTAGTAATATGAGCTACAAATGTACTAATGATTAATTCTTTCTACATCCTTTTCCAAAAAAAGGACAGTAAGTAGCAGTGTAATTAAAGGAACATTTGTTTAAACAAATGGAATTTTGCTTAGAAGTAAAAAAACCCCAACCAAACAAAAACGAACATTAGAATTAATATTAAAGTCTGATCTGTACTGGAATTACTGGGGATGATCACCCATGTAAACTGGATCAGAGTTTGGCCCTTGTTTCCCTGCAGCTGAGTAATATTTGGTCTGGTTCTCTTTCACGCAACTCCAGCAATGTGAAAAGAGCCCCAGAATAAGAGTAAGTTGCATTTATTTATATTTTAAACTTCTTTACATTGACAGATTTGTTAGTATTAATGAGAACCAGTATTTGTTTTTTTCCTGTTGTCAACCTCATTCAGTCTTTTCCATACTACATTAAAAATGTTCTTGATTTATATCTTTCTCAACAAGGTGAAGAGAAGCTGTAAACCCTGAGAATACAAAGTACCACCATAAATGTGTCAGAAAATAGTAGCTGAAAGAATGCTGTTTCCTTTGTTTTTCTCAAGAAATGGAAATTTTAAGCTAGGCTAAGGTCACAAGTTGATACCAGATGTACTTCTTGGCTTTGGCACAAGACTCAAGTACAAATACATAAAAAGAAACAAAAACCTCCTCCATTACAGTCACATGAAGGCTGTAATCATGAAGCAAAACATGACATTTTCATATGTTAACTTATTAGCTCCCGGAAATATATATGTCCTTTTCCAAAAAGGAATTTGAGGAGGGAGGGAGAGAGGGAGGGAGGGTTGATCCCGTTTATAGTCTGTGGCCCTGATCGGTAAGTGCGGGGACTTGGCTGCTGCCTGCGCCAGGGTGTATTTTTATGCCTGTGCTTACATGATGGAGCACTGGATTCTGTTTTGTGAGCAGCTGATGTTAATGATTAAGGATTTCATCCAAAACCAACTGAATTAGGAGGGGAAAAAAAAAAATCATTGGTTTTGGGTTAAGCTTTTGGTAGCAGGTGGTAGACATTATTTTCTTGATGATGTCATTAGTTAAATTTATCTTTAGGAAATTGAGAAGGAATGAAGGCGTGACTTCTGCAGAACTCTTAAAAGCAGGCGCTGGCTTGAAAAGACTCCTGTCTCACACTTAAATAACGTTTCACGAACAGATAAGATGTTCTTTGCTTGCCAGCTCTGAAGTTGGGTATTGCACAATGTTCAGGCACCTACCATGTCACTGGGAAAAGCTTCCAGTGCCTGAGTTGGGGAGAAACTGCACCTAAACTGTCCCTGCACGTTTGCCCGAGCCCTGTGAGAACCTGAAGCTTCAGGCAGCTGGACACGCTTGGGCCTTTGCTGAGCTGATGGCCTACATACTCCTCTCCTGCCAGAAGCCCTTTCGGGATTGGGAGGAGTGACATGCCAGTGTCTAATGCCTGAGGACCTCAGCACGTGAAGTGTGGCTCAAGCCGTGCCCCAGTTTGTGAAAGCAGTGCTGTTACTCCTGCCCACCGTGTTGTAGAGTAACTTGTTAGTCTGAGCACCTACTTGCCACCTAATGTCAGGGGAACTGCTGCAGTGAGGAGGAGGTTCCTCCAGTGAGTAGATGTGGAGGTGATCCAGCATCTATGCGTACTGCTTCTGAAGGCAGATGCCTAACGCTACACCTGTATGAAGAAGAAGGGATATCCTTCCAAGGATGTGTGCCACCCCAGTTAGAGATTCACATTAGGCAGAGGTGTGTACACTGAGAGATTATGAGAAGACAGAGTATGATTATGGTTTTCTTTGGTGTTTTGGTACTGGGATGATGATCAAGTTTTTGCAGATGTAGTTTGTTTCCTGGGGCCCAGGGTGTATGTCCCCCTTCCAGGGCACCTCTTGTTGACCATGTGGTGGCTTGGAGCTTGCTCTGATGCCCTGCCACAGTTGTCTGTTCCTGTTGAAAGCTGAGGGTGTATTGGAGTGTTTTCCCTTAATCATGCATGCAATATCTGGCTGCTTATTGCGGTTTATGCTCCAGAACAGGTTATTTTTCCAAACTCAGCATTTTTTTTTTTTTTTTTTAGAAAAATACTTTGTTTTGGTTTTTTTTAAACTGAAAAATCAAGTGTGGAATATGTAATTTGTGTGTAGTGGGATAGATGTGGTTGTCTTCTCTACAATCCAGTGCTTTCGCTTTCCTTTAATTGAACATACAGTTAATTACCAGCATGGCATCTAAGCCTTAGATAAAAGAACTGCTTAGTCCTAAGGCTTGATACTGTTGTAACGATGGCTCTTGTTGTTCTTGACAGAATCCCTAAATGGATCTTGGAAAGAAGGAGGATTTGTGCCTTCTAGTACCAGCAGCAGTGGATACTGGAGCTGGAACGCTCCCAGTGACCAGTCCAACCCATCCACTCCATCTCCACCTCTGTCAGCTGATAGCTTCAAAGCTTTTCGGACACCTTCCCAGCCAGATGATGGTATTGATGAAGCTGAAACCAGCAATCTTCTCTTTGATGAACCCATTCCTAGGAAGAGAAAGGTTAGCCTTATATTGAATTCCATACCCATGGGCAGATAGGATGTTGGTAGATGTATTTTGCTCTGAGAAAGGAACAGGGCATCACCCAAACAGCTCTGCATGTGTATCCCTCTTTGGCATTGAGTTAATGTGGGTACTTAATCTAGTCACTATGTCTTGTTCAACCTAGTCACCTACTGCACACCCATGCTGCCATCAGCACCACATATTTGCTGGCAGATGGTGAGGTTCTACAGAGCCTCCTGCTCAGAAAACACTGGAGTGATTTCCAGAAGGTGTTGCCTCTGGCCATTCAAGGGATTTCTATCTTACTTTGGCAAATTCTTTGTCTGCAGGATGCAACAGGCAGCCTTTAAATGTCTCCATAAAAACTGGATATGACCTTAATACTTCTTGTTCCCTGACAGTGCTTTTTGTCTGACAGCATGTCAGATACCTTAATGCTGTGAAGCTTTCTCTGCGCAAACATATGGAGTGAAAAGAGAAGAGAGAGATCAAACCTGATGGCTTTTGATACAGTATTAGCAGTGGCCAAATTTATCCTCAGTAGGAGTGGGAAAGCAGACTAAATAAAACACAAAGTAAAAAAAAAAAAAGTCCAAAACTAACCCCAAAAAAGCACGGTTACGCTAGCAAGCGAGCTCCTGTCGAAGAAAAAGAAAACAAAGAGATGGCACTAGTCCAAGTTTCCATCCCTCCCAACGCAACAGGACAAATTTTACGTAGCAAGATGAATTGTAAGAAGGAAAAAAAACAGGGAATTTATTCTCCTTAGTGACTTTGTTTCTGGCTCAGTCTGGGAGAGGTAATTGCTTCAGCAGCAGCAGGAAGAATATTTAATGATTGTTTAAGCCTGTTCAGGTTTATCCTTTTGCTCCAGAAGTTGCTTATGTGCCGACCCACACTGTTCTGCCCTTGTTTGTGGGAGAGGGTTGCAAAATGTTTGTGCTTCTTGCTAAAAAGAAAAAATAGTCTTTTGAAGAACACCTTTGTTATAATAAATTAGAAGTTAGAGCTGACTGTTAAACTAAAGACAGAGATGATTTCGGAGGGTGGGACAGGAGCAGTAGGAATGCAGAAGTGTGCTGGTTTGTCTTTTACTTCTTGGTTAAAGTTCATCTTATTAGCATCACTGTTATTGCTGAGCTGTGATGAAACAGATGGGTTTGCAGCTGCTATCTTTATTGTTATCTAAGTTGTCTTTGAATATTTCTATTTACGTACCTACCACTGATCTATTACACTGTTTGTTCTTGTTCATAGGGATTTTGCTCTGTATGGCAAATGCTTAATGTAGATAAATAATAACATTACCTTCCAAACTTTATTTTATAAATTAACTGCATTTCCTGCAGGTTTTTTTATTCTGGTTCCAGCATGATATTTTATCTGAGTACAGCTTTGCACCTTTAGAAGCTGAAATAAAAATGTTCAGGTTATATCTTCTTCAGGGCTTCAAAAACCAGAAGGAATAAACCTAGAAATAGAGTGATTGGTAACCTTATTTTACTCATTAAGTTTCTCCCATTTCATATTTGTAAAATGTCATGTTAGCAACCATTTCCCGTTAAGAAAGTTGCTTGTTTAAAAGTTTCCACTAATGTGGTTATTCTTCACCAAATCATTTATGTTCCATTATTTTCTTAAATAAAACACTAAGCCTGATTAGGCAATTTTTTGACTAGTCAGAAATGGAAGCACAGTTTATGTTCTGTATTTCTACTGAGTGATATTTCATTGGGTTGCATTAAAATACTTTTTGCAGTATCCTAGCATTGACAATAAAACTAAAACCACAGTGGAGCTAGGAGATTGGTCTTACCATCAAACTGGGGGTTGATGTTAAACCATTCTGTGTTCATAAAGATCCATGTGGTGTTCATGATGTCATACCAGATTTCCTGAAATGTCAGTGGTAAGCATGGTCTTCATCTTGTCGCCATGGTTGGTTGTGGGGTTTTGAGCTGATTATAGTGTTTAGTATTATATTATAAAAGTAAGAAATGTATCTGTCAGAATTGCTAGATATATTACATTTCATTTTAGGAAAAGAGAGTTCTGTATCCTTTTGAATGGTAGTTGTATTATCAGATCAGAAAATTATAGAGGGAATATATTTGCAATTTATTCCAAAGTAGAAAGTTTTCATGCAAACAATATGATCAGGTACCTCAAATCTTAAAGCCCTTAGCATCCATACTTTCAAACAGTGGATGTTCAACTGCCAACTATGACAACATGAAACTACAATCAACTTGTATTTTAAAAATCAGCAGAGATTTTTAAAAACTATATTCCAATCATTGTTTTTCTAGCAAATGCTGAAACTTACCATCTACTGACCTGCAATTCCAAAGGGTCCACATTGAAGAAAGCACCAAGTCAGCTTTTGTTCAAGACACAGTGAAGCATATATTTGACTCTAAGGATGTGCTTGTTCCCTTTATTTTAAATCAAGCTTTATATTAATATATTCTTTTAATCTTACATGTAACTAAAATTATAGGATAATAATAGAGTATTTTGAAGCTCTTCCTTGTGTTTTCTTTAATAATGTTTTCTGTAATAATAGAGAAAATTTTTGAGAAGTTAAAATTATTCAGATTTTTTTAAAATCTAAAATTTATAAAGTAGGTTTCATTTTGGGGTAAAATTAGCTTTTAAAAAAATCTATAGAGTTCTTCAACATCTGTAGTGTTTGTTACCACATACTGTGCTTTAGACCAGTTTTCTCCAGAGTCTTTAAAATATTGAAGATCAGGCTGGTTATAGCTTTGTTGGCTGTGCTCTAAATCAATGATAACTCAGTTTAGGCCAGTGAAGTTATATTAAAGAATAATAACAAAAATATTAAAATGAGATTATACACATATTCTTTTAAAAATGTTGAATGCACCCAAATGGCTTCTCATTCTCTTGTCCAAGTAAAGGTCACAGCAGCTTCTGAATGAAATAAATGCAGGTTTTGCCAGCTCATGGGTGAATATTGTCATTGCAGAAGCTACAGTTTTCTGGCACAATGTTTTTAATGTGTTGCAAAATTCATGAGCAAAGAAATTCCTAAGAGCTTGCTTTAGGAAGGTCTTAATTTAAGAAGATGCTTTGCATTGAGAAGTCTTCATCAGTTGTTCTTTGAAAGGCTCCAAAGCAGCACAGGAAGTTTTTATATCGTTTGCCTCCTTTACTGGGGAGACAGAAACTGGAACTTGCAATTGAAAAAGCCATGCCAAAGAGTGGAGAGAGGTGAAGTTTTGGCACAAGCTGCTCCTGTGGCTTTTCACTGGGATTCTGTTGGGTTCAGTAGGATGATGCTGTTGACAGAGACTATTAAATCGTTACAAATTTGAGTTAGAGGCTCTGAACCTTCACAGTGTTTTGTAACTGTGTGTCTGTTTTGAATGGTTTGGTTTTCTTTCTGGCTTCCATGCGACTAATGTTGCTTTACTCGTGATTTCCAGAACTCCATGAAGGTGATGTTCAAATGCCTGTGGAAAAACTGTGGGAAGGTTCTGAGCACAGCTGCAGGGATTCAGAAACACATACGGACCGTTCACCTTGGGTAAGAGAGCGGTCTCTTTGGAAGTCTAAAGGTTTTGGTGTAGAAGGGGAGCAGTTGCAGGCAAACTGGCTTGTCCTTGGCTTTTCTGTCTCAGATCCCTAGGTTTCTGAGGAGATTGCAGAGTAGTGCGTCAAGGTGAATATTCCAACAGCGATTCATTTTCTTCCCTGAACTTCTGTGAACTTCGCTAGAAGGTCAAGTACAGCTCAAGGTCACACTGCACTTCTGTAATGGTAGCACAGCTCAGTGGCATTTGCTACATATGTGCTATCCTCATGTCATGTCCAGGTTGATGCTGTGTGAAAGACAGCAGGTTTCAGGGTCCGGTGTGAATAATTTCCAGCTTTTTTTCACATCAGATCAGGTGCTTGTGCTAGTTCTGAGTCAAATTAACTCAAAAAACGCCCCCAAAACATAAGAAACCTAAGAAAAAGAAACTGAGCTGCAATTCCATGTGTATGTTACTTGGATGAGAAGCAAAAGCAAATGAATCTTGTGTGACACAAGCTTGTTTCAAAGCTTTAGTTTGCACCTGAAACCTCCCGTGTAATTCACTGAGTGACCTAGCTGTCTTATATATAGTTACAGTGGGAACTCATGGCCTTCACCTGTAGGTATGTGGAAATATATCTCTGTTGTGTAAGTCTGTGTTACCCAGTGCTTCAAAATTAAAGTGGCCATGAGGAAGTAGTCTGGTGTGGAGCTCAGGAGGGTCTTGCAAAGGTCATAGTAACTGCTGTTGGGTTTAGGCTCTGAAGAGTGAGGCTGTCAGAAACAGAGAAAAATATCTCTCAAAATGCAGTTACAAATGTTGCTTTGTCCTGTTTGTTATGGGGACATCCATTTCGTGACATGGGGGAGGGAGAAGTAAACGGCAGAACTTCGCTGAAATTTGGAGTTTTTAACTTGGACAGAGAGAAAAGTTTTGGTGAGTGGCTGGTTGTGGTCTGACGGATGGTACTTTTGGTAGAGCCTTTCAAACCTGCTGAAGCCATGCTCTCTCAACGAGTTCTATTGAGTAAGGTGGTGAGAGGACCACAGGTAGCAGTATATGGGCAGGCAGGCTGAAGAACTGGGTAGGAGCTGGTTTTGGGGTGCATGCCTGGAAAAGGAGAGGCCCAACGTTCAGCTCTGATACGGACATGCAGGCAGGAGGACACTTAGGGCTCAGATTTCCCACATGGAAGATTCAGGAGAAAATATGCATGTACGAACTGTGAGTTACATCTGTACAGCGTGTGGATTATGAATGTGTTCAGATAGTGGTTTGTTTTGGGCTCCAAGATAACATGTAGCCTGCAGGGAACTCCTGCTTTGACTGGGCTGCTTCACTCATAGCACTTGTGTTCAAACATGCAACAAATATTGCCCCTGCATCTCTGGGACTTAGACCTTTTACATCTCCTCCTTCTGTATGTCTGCCTCTGGGGAGTAGGACCAGGAAGTCCTGCACTGGCAATCCAGGCCAGTGGATTTGCCAGGACATTACATGTCCTTCCTCTACCTGTGTCTGAGTGAGTTGCATGGTGAGACTATTTTGTAGCAGCTTCTTCTGTTAGGCTAAGGAAAGTTACAGTGAACCACGGTCATAATTGTATTTGGTTTAATTAAGTGACCTATGACAAGATTGCATATTGTTTGCCATAACATTAGTGAAGTATATCTTACCCGTGTTTGTGTATCTTTACCCGTCCTTCTGTGGTTGCTTTGTCATTTCTGAAGTCAAAGTGCATCGAGATTCTTATTAACTTCAGTAGTTAGGAATGAGAAGCTGATATTTAAGCTGAAGCATAGAAGTTAAACATCTACTCCAAGGGCAAAGAAAGTCAAGAATAACACAGAGACAAAAAAAATCTAATTCCTGCTTCTTTTCCCTCCAGACTAAATTATTTTCTTTTCCTCTCCACCTTCCCTGCAGCCAGAAGGCTGATAAAAGTGGGTAGGGTTGAAACTGGGATTATTAATTTATTGACAGTATGAATACATTTGCATCTAGAATTTAAAATTTACCTTGGATTTCTTGCTTTCATTTAATCAGTCCTTCATTCTTTGTCTTGATACAGACGTGTAGGAGAGTCTGACTACAGTGATGGAGAGGAGGATTTTTACTATACAGAAATCAGGCTCAACACGGACTCAGTAGCTGAGGGCTTAAGCAGTCTTTCCCCAGTGTCTCCATCTCTAGCATCTCCTCCTTCCTTTCCCACCCAAGATGCAATCCGTCCTGAAACTTCTTGTGCCAAAACTGAGACTAAGTTGATGACACCTCTGAGCCGCTCAGCTCCTACCAACCTCTACCTCGTACACACGGACCATGCTTACCAGGTAACGCTAGTGCGCGTGAACTCCGCTGATTACACTAATGTCATTAATGTGTAAAGAAATGCCAGATCAAAATGTTTGGGTTTTAAAAAGCCAAGTCTAGTCTTGATGGGTTTAAAAGTTTTCAGGGCAGCCCAGGGGGTTCATCTCATTTGAATTCAGCTGTCCACTTCTGAGCTAGTTGGTTGGTTGGCCATGCTCCTACCATAGTCGGTGGATTTTGGGTTGCTATTTCAGGTTGCATACTTAAGGTTGAGATGTGTTGATCTGTGTATCTCACTGCCCACATCAGTTAATTCCTCACTGACCAGAAGGAGGGCCCAAGGTGACATCCTCAGACGTGGCCTCCTGCATTGTAAAAATTCTCATTCAGTCAGCCGAATCCTTCCCAGAGTCTTAATTTCAGCTCTGCTTGTAGAGGTTGTGTCTGTAGGCAAGTGCCCAAGGGATGCCAGGAACAATTCATTTCCTTTATTTGTACAGTGTGAGATATCAGTTTGCAAATGAGAAGCAGAGCAGGAAGAATGAAAAGGCGTATATGGTATCCTCCTACTCTTAGAGGTAATGCTTTGCAAATGGCAAAAATCCCATCAGATCCAAAAACTGCTGCTCCAAAAACTTCCAACAAAGTTCAGACAGAAAGCATTAATTTTAAAAGTGCACTAAAATTTGACATGTTTTGGACTGGATACCATATGAGAAAATAATAATAGAGGCTTTGAAGTAGTGTGGTCCATGACCTGCGTGTGCACCGGAGAATTAACTGTTAAATTTATCAGATGCAATAACTCTCCTATACAGCATTGTGCAGATGAAACCTTTTTGTTGTGTGTCTGAAGCAGATGCAGTAAAAGGACAGAGGGAACCACACAGAATTCACAGGCTTGTTTTAGATTCTCGTGCATGGCAGAAAGCACGGGTGGAAGCCTGGCATCTCAAGTGGGAGCTGCCTGAGGTAGCACACCAACCTGGGGACTGATTAAGCCAGCTAGGAGGCAGACTTTCTTCTCAGTCTAGCTTGAGCACTGACTCTCATAGAGTGAGGCACCAAGTGTAGGCTGCTGAGAAGAGTCTCCCTTCATTTGGGATTTGCAGTTGTGACAGTCTTCCCTGCAATTTGGAGGCTCCCTCGATCCTTTTTTATAAGCAGCCTTTGAATAAAGCACTTGCCTGAAAAAATCCTAGTTCAAATGTTTAAGCTGCTTGAATTGGATTTGAATTGATGTATTCCACAACATGAGACTGCAAGTGTCTGAGCCCAGTCTCCTTTTCAAGTTGCTCTGGTTTCAATATTTCATTCCAACAGTCAGGAGTGACACAGTCCACATTGTTCAAGGCTTTCTAGTTGGAAGCAGGAGGTGAGGTCCCTGCTCAAGCATTCTGGTTGTCCTTGCAAAGGAGACAACCTCTGCAGAGCAGGTGAGTGGCATCCTGTGCTAGGGTCTCTCTACCCAGCAAGAAGAGCACTCTCTGGGAGGCAAGGTAGAGATTCAGCTCTTGCCAGCAAGAGGAGGAACTGAGCCCAGCTTTCACTCATGGCATTTAAGCATTCTTGCGACTAATCTGTTGTGTAAAAGGGAATAGAAAGACAGCATTTTTATTACCACCATATTTCCTGCAGTTTGCTTGCTGGAGTGAGCCATGTACAGAAAAAAAACTTCTTTTACTTCTGATAAAAATACAGTTTGTATCAAAACTGAAACAAGGTCTTGAACAGGAATGTAGCGATGAAGACAATCTCCTATGAATGAAAACATGAAAGTGGAAATTACCTCACTGGGAATTAAGAGGCAAAATTCACAGCTCAAGGATCTCAGATGAGGGAGACTGAATAATGTTTATCCCAGGATTCCTGTTAAAAAAGGGAAAAAAATATGGAACCCAAAGCTGGGTTGCAGGAATCTTAAATTCCTGCAGGATCTGTTAATTGTCATTCCCCCTATGACTGGAAAATGGCAAATAAATACCTGTAGTAAGAAAGGTGTAAAGGTGAAGCGATCAGGCGAGTCCTGACTCTCTTTTCTGATGCAGTCCTGTATGAGGAAAGATTTAGAAGAATAATTGAAGAAATTATAGAAAGTACAGCAAATTAAGTGAACTGCAACTGAGGAACCCCAAAGAAAGATTATGCTAGAACAGTCTAACATCTTCTTTGGACAAGTTAGCTTTGTAAACAGCAGAGAAGCAGTACAGAAGAACAAATCCCTCTGGATTCGAGGAGAAAATTTGATCTTAAAACATATAGGCTATATATAGGTATTTGTTAGGCTAGAGATTAAATTTAGCATAGGAGAGAGAGCTGGGGAGTCAGGGAGAACAGCAGTGAGTGATTTTGAAAGGGCTCTTGAATGTTATTAGTGGAGTTGAATGAAAAGCTGTACTTGAGACTGATCTCATTTTCATTAAATCATTTTGGTACTGGACAAATACTATAATAAACTTTGCTGGTAACAAACTTGGTAGACATCAACAGTGCAGGCATTGTATATCGTGCTTACATGGCTGGGTGATCTTAAGAATAAAAGGTTTTGGATGAATTTTAGTGGAAGAAGATGCAAAGTACTGCACCTTAGGAACTAATGAGATTTTTCTGCTATAAACTGGAATAGTTAGAAAATTACATTAGGAGTAAACCTTTGTTCATTAATGGAGCACAGAATGACCATGAGCCAACAACAGATCTGTGAAGGCAAAAAAAAAGTTGTCAACTTACTTGGGTAAGAAATACCTAGGAGAGACAGGGGTTTTTTATGCTGTTGTGCAAGACCCCTGGATAACTTCAGCTGAGATCCTGACTAGAGTTCTGGCCAACCAGGTTGAAGGATGATGGACTCCAATTAGAAGAGGAAGGAAGAAGGTAATCAGCATGAAGAGGGAGTACAGGGAGGACACGGAGGGCTGCTCCAGCCCAGGGACTGACAGCTCAGGCAGAGCAGGGGCAAGGAGAGGATGGGATTTCTGCCTGGGAAAAAAGTGAGGGAACGAACATGAAAGGGGAAGAGGACGAGCATGTGCTATTTCAGATATAAGGGCCATGTTGGCACAATTAAATAAATAATTATAAATTAACCATGAATGTATTTTGATTGAAAATTAGATGGAGGTCCATAAGTAAAGTGAGATCAGGGTATAGAAACTTCAGTTCATTGTAATGTTATGGTTCCTTACCTTATGGAAGAGATATTGTCTGAAATGTTAGCCTGAAAAAGGCACCTGTGCTTGTTGAGCAAAGATGTACGTCTGGGAAATGAACAAGGTGTGTCAGAATCTGATCATGTCTGAGGTAGATATTTAGGCACTGAGAAAAAAAGAATTGAGCACAATCATATTTTAGGCAACTGCAGATTACAGCAATTTAAAATTTCTCATACTTCATGTTTCATTATGAAACTAGTGCCTGTACCTGTTAAATTTAGCTACAGAGGAACTACAGGCAAGCTCTTTCAGCGTCTAGGATTTCCCTTGCGGGTCTTGTTCAAATACCTGAGGAAGACACCGTGCTGACCCTGGCTTTGAGCTGATACCCTGATGGGATGCTGAGCAGAAGC